CCGAGGGGAGGCCGTCAGTCAGCTCGTGGCACCCGCTGAATGCACCAGGCGCGCATCTCTGCTTCGCATAAAAAGTTAGACTGGAGGGGGGTATCTCCTCAATGAGCAAATTGGATTCCCTGAGTTTCTTGCGGCACGACGCTCAAGCGTTCTGGCACCTATTCGACGCTGCGCCCCGATCAAGGAAGATCGTGGAGGACCGATATTGGAAGACCGAATAGATCGAAGAGGAGTACGAGGAGGATCCAGCCGCGAGGATCGATGGAGGATAGGTTGGATGCACTTTCAACTGCTGGAACAGTCAACACAATGGATGCAAAGAATGCACCAGCATCTGAGCCCGCATGCATCACAACGACAATCACTCCCTGCCGAAGGGCGCCCTCTTTCAGCTCGTCGAGCCCGCTGATTGCCACAGGCGCGCATCTGCGCTTCGAACTGGTCTCAACGCCATCGCGAAATAAAAAAGTCTGCCTGGAGGAGGGTACTCTCCCATGAGCCAATGGGCAGGAGAGCCCATAACCGAATCGACAAGTCGGATCGGCGATCGAACTTAATCGGACCGGCGGAAATCGGCTGCCGAGTCGGAAGAAGTCGAATCGGAAGAAATCGGCAGGCTTGTAGGACCCCATTGAGAAATCGGACCCCAAATCGGAATCCGAAGTCGAATCGAATCAGAATCGGAAGCCATCGAAGTCGAATCGAATCGAATTGGAGGAATCGAAGTGAGCCCTCCTTGACTTCCCCAGCGCGCCCAGCCCCAACAGCTGCAAATTACGGGCGCCTCTCCCTGTGGAAAAAATGATTATACTATTTAGCGAAGACTCGTGGGCGTGGCCTTGCGACAGCGAAGCCTTCCGTGAACCAGTGAGCCTGGCCCGATCTGAAGCGACACTTCTTTTGACAGAGCCAAGATTGGCTTGTCGTGGACTTGGTATACGTACCAGCTGTCTGGGGTCCACGCGCTGGCATGCAGTGCGACCGACGCCTCGAATTTCAGCCCCAGCAACCCGACCAGACATGAACGGGAAGCGTCGCTGTTGTCTGGGAAACTTGTCAAAAACTGTCCTCTTGAGACCGTCAAGGGAATTCGGAGATAAAACACAAACGAACAACACAACCACTGGCAATTCATTGTTCGGAGGGTTCCTACACGCTACCCGACGAGGCAAAACGAAACCCTGGGAAATCACCAGCACCTAGCGCGAAGAAGTACAACGGGGGAGCAACGACGATTCGGAAATGCATCAATGCGTATGGTTTTGGCGCGAGCCGCACGGCGATGTACTTTACAGCGCGGACAAAACGCACATGCGGCGCTCATGGCAAGCGCACGCCAATCGACGTTTAGCAATGATGCGTGCTCATCGATATGTCCCGTCTCTGCGCGCGCGCTGTGTGGAGTCGACATTGCGTGCATGTCTCCGTCGCGACACGTGCAGGAGATTGGTGCGATGCGCGCTTCCTGCGTTATGTTCTTACTGGTGTCTTGTGTTCTCTCCTTGCTCATGTGTAAATCGGCTTGGAGGCCTCAGACGGCTCCAAGATCGCACAAGGAGGCGCCACAAGGCGCCCAGGAGGGCTCTAAGACGGCCCCAAGATGGCCCAGGAGCGCCCCAAAAACGCCCCAAGAGGGACCCAGGAGGCCATGTTCAGCTTCCGGCGGGGGCGTTGACATCAAGAACCCCCCTCCCTTTCTCGATGGCCTCCGAAGTTCCCCAGAAGAAGGGCCCCCAGAAGGGCCGCAAGAGAGCCCCAAGGGCGCTCCAAGAGAGCTGCGGAGGCTTCCATGATTATCCCATGACGGCTCCAGCAGCTCCCCGAAGTTTAGTCTCACCATTTTTCGCCTCCCTGCACTACTGTATGCTCGCCTGCGCCCCACCGCTAGACAACTCCCCTGGGCATTCTTTCGGGACTATCTCCTTCACTATTTCCTCTTTCTCCTTCCCCTCCTCCTCCTCCTCCTCCTCCTCCTCCTCCTCCTCCTCCTCCTCCTCCTCCTCCCCCACCTCCGCCTGTTATGTGGCGTACTGGTGGACGACATGTCGTTACACTTCTCTGATCAGGGCGACTCGCGCGGGGATCGTTTCTGGATGGGCCAGTGGGGATACGGGAAGCCTCCAGAAATCGGAGCCCATGCAGAGGCGGTGCTCGCCAGCACGCACGGCGTCCCTCGTGAGCCTGGCACGCCGCGCCCTGGCCGAAATCTCAGGAGGGGGCCGAGGGGGGAGCCATCCCAGATCTCAGGAGGGCGCCGAAGGGGGGTTGGTATGGAGAGAGGGGACAGAGGAGAGAGAGGGGGAGATGAGAAGGAGGGTGGCGCAGAGGCCCACCCTTGGTGTACACTGGGACGCCCCCCCCCGACGCGCACATGGTGCACACTGGGACGAAATTTTGAGGATGTCTCAGGGGAAACGCCAGTGTACACCAAGTTCGCCAGATTCACCAGCACCAGTGTGCACCAGAGGCGCCGCTCAATAAATGCGAGTTTGATGCGTTGGTTTGATGCGCCTCGCGGCACGATGCTAGGGGGGTCAACGATGGAAGGCTTACAAGAGAGCTTCAGAACACCCAAGATGGCTTCCAAGATGGCACAGTATACCTAATGTGTTTGAGGATCGCCTTCCACGTGCCTCGAAGATGCCCCCAAACATGCTTAAGACAGCTCCAAGTTGCCACGAAGCCTCCCAAGAACGCTTCCGAGAGGTAGAAAATCCCTCTAGAACTGAAAGGATCTGGATCCAATGGTATCTGTTTTCGCGTCGTGTCGCTTTCGATCGGCTCAGGAGCGTAAGATGGCTCCAAGGCAACCCCAGGAGCTCCCGAGAGCGCCTCAAGAACGCCCCAACGGGGCCCCAGGAGGCTATTTGTCCCTTCCCGACAGGGGACTGAAAGAACCCCCTCTTTTTTTATCGACGGCCTCCAATGTGGCCCCAAGAGGGTCTGCAAGGCCCCGAAGAATATCCTTAGAGAGCCCCAGAAAGGGCCCCAAAAGGGTCCCAAGAAAGCCCCCAAGGCTTCCAAAATTGCCCCAAGATGGCTCCAAAGGGCTCCCTGGTGCGAAACCTCACCGCAATTCGCCTCCTTGTTTCACTCTGTTCTCACCGGCGCCCCTGCTCCAGACGACTCCCCTGGGTATCGCTCCTGGACAGTAGGCTATGTGGCTATGTCCCTCGCTGCTTTCCCTTTGTCCTGCTCGCCCTCCGCCTCCGCCTCCTGTGTGGTCTACGAATGGACTGCGGGCCGCTGCGTCTCCCTGGCCAGGGCAGCTCGCGCGAGGATCGTTTCTGGACGGGCTGATGGGAGCGCGCGCAGCGTCAATGATCGTCGCTGGGCCTCGTCGCGCACCTCACCTGCGGGGCACGTTCGCTCCAATTGCTCGTCGGAACCTGGCGGGCGCGATTGTCTGCGCCGCGTTATCACTCCACGCCGCGACGAGACCGCGGCGACGATGCGACGAAATTGACGATGACGCTTGGACGCAGAAAATCGCCCATGGCATCGAAGGGATTATAAGGGCGACCCTTCCCGCACGATTGATCGCGGCGACTCCCCCCGACAACCGATGCCTGCCTTGCTGGCGCGGAACACTTTTGGGGGGGAATTGTTTTTCCTCCAAAAACACTGCGATTCCTCTGCCGGTGGAGTCTAGCGGTCCCCGGTCTGCCGCGCCCCTGCTCCTGTAATCGGATGCTTAGGGGTGAGATCGCAGTGGAAAGGAGACCCCCAACCGGGAAATCGTTTCGTTTCGTTCGTGTCGTGCGTGCGGGCGAGGCCAAGCTTCGCGGGCGCGCAAGAGGAATGAACCCGCCGCTGCTAGGGCGAAATCAAGACAAATGATCCTCCCCCTCCCGCCCGTCCAGCGGTGTCCCGCGGTGTCCCGCGGTGTCCCGTGGTGTCCTTTGGTGTCCCGTGGTGTCCCGATGAGTGAGATCGATAGTGAGATCGATAGTGACATCGATACTGAAATCGATACTGAGATCGATGTGGTGCCCCGAGGTGTCCCGTGGTGTCCCGTTGAGTGAGATCGATAGTGAGATCGATGTGGTGCCCCGCGGTGTCCCGTGGTGTCCCGTTGAATGAGATCGATAGTGAGATCGATGCGGTGCCCCGAGGTGTCCCGTGGTGTCCCGCGGCTCCCCCAAAACATGAAATCTAGAGTGAGGTCGATAGTGAGATCGACAGGTGTCCCGTGGTGTCCCGTTGTGTCCCGTTGAATGAAATCGATAGTGAGATCGATAGTGAGATCGATAGTGAGATCGATGTGGTGTCCCGAGGTGTCCCGAGATGTCCTATGCTGTCCCGTTGAGTGAGATCGATCGTGAGATCGATAATGAGACCGATAATGAGATCGAGAGGTGTCCCGCGGTGTCCCGTGGTGACCCGTTGAGTGAGATCGACAGCGAGATCGATTGAATCAGATGTTGGTTCTACCCTTTCCCCCCACACACAACCTCCTCATCACCCGAAGGGTGGTCGCATAGGTATGTAATGTCGTGCTCCTGTAATCTGCAATGCTCCTGTGGCCTGCCGTGCTGCTGTGGTCTGCCGTGCTCTCAAGCTCTCCCATGCTATTGTGGTCTGCCATGCTCCTGTGGTCTGTCGTGCTGCTTTTCGGTGTTGCTGCGGTCTGCCGTGCTGGTCTACCGTGCTCGTGTAACCCGCCGCGGTGGCCTGCCGTACTGCTGTGGTCAGCCGTGCTGAAAGTGAAAGCGAAAGCCGGGGCATTAAAGGCACTAAGGAGGAGCCCTCCAATACACACAAAAGCGGGGTGGCCCTAAAAGGCCAGGGCAGGCGGAGGTGGGCCAGCCGACAGGCTTGACTTAGGCCCCCCCCCAGACGCCAAGCCCACCCCTCACGCACGGCCATCGATAAACACGACATGACCGTGCAAGCACTCTCGAGACGAGCAAGTGAGCAGCAAAAAAACTACAGACACAATGCCCGACGAGATGCAACCGAAGAAAGAACATATACCACACGATTCAATCATCACTCTCCTCGGCCCTGGCGCCGAGGCGGTCCGTGCGGCGGCGCACACGCCTGCGCGCGACCGCACTGACAGCGGCCTGAGCGCTGGCGGTCAGCTCGGCCTCGCTCAGGCCGTGGGCCGCCAGGAGGTCGTCGCGGGCCACAGCGCCTCGGCCGCCTGCCGCCACCCCCGAAGCCACAGGCGCAGGCGCGCCGCTGGCTCCAGGCGCTCTGCCGCCGCCGCCAGGCGCGGCCTGAGGGCCAGCGGCGGCCTCGGCGCGCAGGCGCTCGGCCTCGTGCCCGCTCGCACCTGCGGCTCCGCTGGGGCCCGCGGCACTGGCGCCCGCGCCGCTTGCCGCTGGCTGCTCGGCCAGGACCCCAAGCCACTCCAGGTCGCGCTCCTGGGCATCTGCTGGCAACGGCCCGTGCCCTCGGAGGGGCTGCTTCGCCGACCGCGGCCTTCCACCTTGGTGGAGTCCGCGCTCCCACAAGCTGCGCTGGTTGCGCCCGCTCTCGTCCGTCCTGTCGGCCAGGCAGGGCCCCTTCAGCCGTGGCTTGACCCCCGAGCGGCCTCCCAGCACCATGTGGGCGCCGCACTTGGTGCACGCCACCAGCTCCTGGGTCTGCTCGCCGTCGCCGCAGCAGGCGTAGCTGAGGGCGTGCCCGAGGATGCTAAAGGCCGCCGCACCAGCCGAGAGGGCCGCGGCGCTGCCGGCCGAGCGAGCGCTCTCCAGGCGCGGCCTCTTGGGCTCTGGGCCCTCCTCAGCAAGCGGGGCCTGCGGGTCTGGCGGCACATCGAAGCGCACCTGCCGCCGCTCGCCAGCATCAGGGAGGCCCTCGCAGTCCTTCTCGCTGATGCCCTGCCTGTCCAATCCACCGTGCAAGCTCGCCAACCACCTCAGCCGGGGCAGCCAGGCCGCCGGCGAGCAGCCTGGCTCCCATCTTGGCGAGGCGGTCGGCGCGGTCGTTCCCGCGCTGCTGGGCCTCGGTGAGGCGCCCATCCAGCACGGCCTGGCGGCTGCAGTGCGAGGGCAACTTCCGCAATGCAAAAGAGCCAGGCTCGAAGGCCGCGTGGATCCTGCTCCAGAGGTGAGAATTGGCCCTGCTGGGCGCCGTAGCGCAGGCTCGGCCCCGCACGAGGCAGGAAACGGTGGAGCTGCAATCGATGTGGACCTCCTCTACCGCTGGCCCCGCATAGTTGGCTAGCATCCACACCGCAAAGTCCCCCCCGTCCTTGGCCGTCTGCTGCGGGCAGAGGTCCCGCCTCACCGTGCCGTAGACGCCCGCGGCGAGGTTCCCGTCGTCGTCGCAATGCGCCATGGCCCAGCCCGCTCGGCATAGGGCGCCGAAGTGCGGCTCGAGAGCCGAGCTGTCCAAGTACAGCTTCCCATTCAGCCTGTCGTCGGGCGGCCTGCGGATCCACCACGTGCTCACGGCGTCTGCGCGGCGGCCCTGCGGAGGGGGCGGTGCTGGGAGCCAGCAGCGAGCGAAGTCCTCTCCTGCCGCCTCGCTCTGGGCACGAACCCGTTCGGCGCACCTAGCGGGTCGTGGCGACACGCTGTCCCTCCGCTGGGCCGCCAGCATGGGGCACTCGAACAGCCTGTGCCAGAGGGTGCCACGTGCCTCCCCACAGCAGCGGCACCTGGCGCGGCTGCGCTCCTTGGCGTCGTACAGCTTGGCCTGCGTCCAGTGCGCGTTGGAGCAGCGGCGCGATGGCATCCCGGAACAGCGGCCCCTGGGACGTTGCGCTGCGGGAGAGCTCCCGCATCTCATGACGGTCTGAGGCGCGGCGCGCCCCGAGCCCTGCCTCGAACCCCAGCTCGCGCGGGCCCGGGAGCGCGAAGTCCAGCTTGTCCCCGAGGTCCGTGACAAGGCACCGCTCCGACTCGAAGCGCCGCCCGATCCTGGCCATGGTGAGCACCGCTGCATCCACAAGGGACGCGCAGTGCACCCACGGCGACGCGGCCTCGGCGTGTCGGGCTGCTGCCGCCTCCAGCCCGCGCTTCAGCATGCGCAGGGACAGCTCCCCCGACTGGAGCAGCGCCGCCAGAATCTGCACCGCGTAGCTCGCAACGAGCACCATCGGGTCTAGGTCGCGTCGTCGCCGCAGCTCCAGATAGCGACGCCTCAGGCCCAGGGCTGCGCCGCACGGCAGCCGCCCAGCGCTGCGGCACGCAGTGGGCCGCCAGCAGTGTAGCTCCCCGTCCGCGATGCCCGTCACCGTGCGCCCCCAGATCATGCTGGCCGTCGGCCATGCCTTGTGGATGAGGTCGACCTCCGCGCCTGCCGCCTTGGGGCAGCGAGGCCGCCTGGCGCGCTGCAGGGCCCCAGCGGCACGGGCTCGGCCTTCGTGGACCCCTCGCCTGGTGACGCTGGCGCCCGCGCCGAGGTTCCTGGCCTGCAGGGCGCGCTTGAACTCCCAGCCGTGCGCCTGCCAGCGTTGCCCAAACTGCCGCGCTAGGCCTGGGCTGGAGGCGAGGAACGACGTCTTGGCAGCACTGAGGGGGAGGTGCCGCTCCCCTAGGAGCTGGGCGACCTCTACCCCTGCGCTGCCGAGCTGGGCGGCCACCAGCCTCTCCGTGCCCACGGCCTGCAGCGCGATGTCGTCGACGACGTTGCGGGCCACAACTAGAGGCCTGCCCCTGGCAGAAGCAGCGCGGGGCGCCCCCAGCACAGGCAGCCTGGCGACCGTCGTGGCGCACGCACAGCCCGCTAGCACCGCGCCCCGCGTGCCGAAAGTGTCGGAGGCGAGGCCAACGAGGCCGATGAACCTGGGGCTCTGGCACATCACGAGCAGCCCCCGCGGCAGGCAGAGGTTGAAACCATGCTCGATGGCGCAGCTCCAGAGCACGTCGTGCCGCAGGTTCTCGTAGAACTTCGCGATGTCCAAGAAGGGGCTGGCCGCGGCAAGCCCGCTCTCGCGGGCGAAAGCCGCGAACTGGTTGTGGAGCCACCCTGCCTTCTCGCAGCCTCGATCCGCCTTGCCCCAGAAGAACCGATAGTCGTGCTCCGCCTCGCACAGCGCACATGCGGGCTGCCTGAGGCGGCTCCAGAGGCGGAGCAGGAGCGGGATGAGGGCGATAGGCCGCACCCCTCCGTCGGCCTTGGGAACGAACACCATCATGGTCGCGAGCGCCCCCAGCGCCCGCGGCCGCTCCTCATAGGCGGCGAGGATGTCCAGGCACCTCAGCTGCAAGGCCACGGGCAGCAGCACCAGCTGCCGCGGATGCAGCTGGTCGGCTCCCAGGCCCGCAGTCGGTGAGTAGCGCCTGCAGGCTACCTGCGGCATCTCGAGCGCGATGGGGGGCATCTCCCAGCCTTGGATGTCCCTGCCGCCGACGCCTGCACCTGCTGCGAAACCGTCCTGCTGCCGCAGCTCCTGCCAGGTCGCCTCCAGCTGCTCGACGGCCAGCATGCCCGCCAGCGGCCTACCCGTGGCGGGGTCGACTGCCTTCGGGAGCGGCACGGCCCTCGCGAACCTGCGGGCCAGCCTGCCCCCGCGCTGGACCGCCTCCTTGGCCCAGGCCCGCCAAGTCGCCGCGCCCCTGGCGCCGTCGCGGCGCCGGGAAGCCGCGAGGCGCAGCTGGGGGGCCTGAATGGCGCCGCCGTGCCCGAGCACCCCCGCCTGGCTGACAAAGTCGCCCCGCTCGCTGGTGTCGAAGCTGAGGGCCTCGATATCCTCCTCCTGGCAAGCTGCGGCGGCGGTCTCCTCGAGGAGGTGCGTCGCGCGCTCGGCCTGGAAGACGCGCCAGTATACTCGTGGGAGGGGTGCCATCTCTGCGTCCGCTCGGCCATCAGTCGCTGCAGCGCGGTGTCGAACGCCTGGCGGATGCTGCGCGTGAGCGCCGAGTGCCGATGGCGGCGCTCACGCTTCACCGCGGCGCTGAAGGGCTTGAGGACACGCCTGGGCCCCCCCGCTCTGCCGAGGAAGCGCTTGAAGTCCTTGGACTGGACCCCGTGGATCCCGACCAGCGTGCTCTCCACCGCCTCAGTCCACTGGCGCGCCGCCGTGGGCAGGTCGGGCGGAAGGGGGCCGACCTCCCAGCTCCAGCTACAGGGGTGCGCCCGCCACCTGGCGCGCCCGACGCGGCGGCGCACCTGGGCCGCAGCGCCCCCCCGCTCGCGGCAGTCGTCGGCGTCAGCGTCGGGGGAGCGCCCAGGGCGGACGAGCACCTGCACCGGCGCGTCGGGCCTGGCGCCCTGCAGCAGCAAGCGCACTGGCTTGTGGGGGAAGAGCGCAAACCCATCCAACGCAGCTGCCTCCACGGTCCCGTGGGCGAGGCAGTAGGAGCCCGCGAACCAGTCGTGCACATGCTCGGCCCCTTGAGCTCTGCACGTGGTCTCCGACGGGCCGATGTACGCTCCGCGCTGCGCAGTGGGCCAGCCGAGCTCGCGCAGGGTGCCAGGCTCCATGTCGAAGTCCCCTTGCGCCAGCCAGGGCAGCCCCACGGCGAGCACCGTGCCCCCGAAGGCGGCGAAGATGTCCAGGTTGACGCCCTTGGGCCCCAGCCCGTCCTGCAGGTAGAGGGAACGCGCGAGCAACTCCAGCCCAGACGCCGCCGCGACAGTGACCCCGATGATGCGGTGTCGGAGGTCGCCTGGGGCCTGCCAGCTCACCTCGCCTCCTGCAGGTCGTCGCAAACCAGGGCGCCGACGCCTCCAGAATGCGCCGGCGGCCCCTCCTTGCCCGTCGCGGCCGAGGCGTGGAGGAAGGCTGCATGGCCCAAGCCCCTGGCCCTGCTGCGCGCCGCCAGCAGCTGGTGCGGGGCCAGGCGGGTCTCCTGGAGCAGCACAAGGTGGGGCCGCGAGCCCTCGCGGCACACGAAAGCCTCGAGGACCTCCAGGCTGCGGCGCCGCGCATTGCCGTTGATACCCAGGACCTCCAGGCCGCAGCGGACCTGCCGCTTGGCTGCTGCCGTCTCGCCTGGCGCCGGTGGGAGCTGTCCCGGGCGGCGCTGGCGGCAGGGCTAAACTCCAGACTGCCCGGGCGGGGGCCCGCTGCCTCGGCCACCAGCGCCGCGGGCCCCAGCAGGAGCCGCCAGAGGAGCCAGGTCAGCAGCCTCGGCCGCCAGCTCGCGTCTGCAGGCCTCGGCCACGTGCGGCCAATCGCCCTGCGCATCGCCGCGGCGCTCTCCCCGGCCGCGCTCGGCTGCGGGCCGCGGCCCCCAGGCGCCGCCGCGAGCGCCTGGTTTGTCGCTGCCCTCACCGCCGCTGCTGACGAGGCCCCCCATAGGGCAGCTCTCCGCCCGGCGCTCGCGCCGAGGCCGCGCAGGGGGGCCCTCCAGCTGCGAGCGGGCCGCAGCCGTCTGGGCGCAGATCGCCGCCCACGCCACCTCGAAGTTGTTGCTCCGCCAGGCCTCGGGCAACCTCTCGAGCTGTGCGAGCAGCCCTGGGATCTGGCTGGACGTGGCCAGCTGGGAGGCGCGCTGCCGCTGCAGGGTCTCTTCTTCATCTCGAGCAGCATCCTCCAAGGCCTGGAGGGCGCGGGCTGCCTCCTCCACCTCGCCCTCGAGAGTGGCCAGCTCCTCCTGCGCCTTCTGGAGCTGGGCCTCGGCGAGGTCGCGGGCTGCCCGCTTGTCCTCCAGGACCTTGCGGGCTGCCCGCATCCTCTTCTCGACCTTGCTGATGGCGTTGGGCTCCTTGTGCAGCAGCGCCGACCGAGGGAGCGACGACGCCTTCTGCTCGGCCGCCTCACGCTCCGCCTGGGCCAGCTGGCCCCGCTTGGCCTCGAGCTGGCTGGCCACGACGTCGGTGAAGCAGCCGTCGACCCCGTCTGGCGGCGCCGCCAGGAACGCCTCGAGCTGCTCGACCGCCGCCTGCAGCCGTTCGATCGCCGTGGCGCCGCCGCCGCTGGAGGGCGCGCCGCTGGCGGCGGACGTCTGCGACTTGGCCGACGCCGCCCTGGCAGCGCCTCGCGCCTGCCGCTGGGCACGGCGCCCGCGCGGCTGGTCGACCCAGCCCTCGCCGTCAGCCTTGGGCGGGGCCCGCGCCGCTCCTTTGGCCCAGGGGGGCGGCGTGCCCACACCCCAGGCAGGTGGGGCGCCAGTCCCAGTTCCAGCCCCCGCAGCCACACACCCAATACATCATGCTGCCGCTCCGAGGCGCCGGCCAAGACACCCCTCCAGCGCCTCCGCTCGAGGAGCGCGGCATGGCACGTGCCGCGCAGGGCAAGGGCCACTGCCGCTGCGCCTCGGGGCCGAGAAAGAGCGAAACCTTCCTGGCCCGAAGCGAGGAGCCCCTCGCGCTCAGAACGCCGCGGGCGACTCGCGGTCGTCGGGTGTTCCATGGCCTTGAGCCAATATGGCTACGGAAGTTCTGCCGTGCTGCTGTGGTCAACCGTGCTGGTCTGCCGAGCTGCTGTGGCCTGCCATGCTGGTCTTCCGTGCTGCTGTTGTCTGCCGTGCTGGTCTGACGTGCTCCTGAGGTCTGCCGTGTTCCTGTGGTCTGCAGCCATGCTGCTTTCATTGGCCGTGCTGCTATGGCCTGCCGTGCTAATCTGCCGTGCTGATGTGGTCTGGCATGCTGTGTGCTGTGTGCTGCGGGGCCTATGAAGGCTAAAAGGAGCCCGAGGCCCGCGGAGCACGTTGGCCCCAGGGCCTCAAGGGCCAACCCAAGGGGCCCCGAAGGAGCCACCGCAGGGGAGGGCGCGAAGCGCCAGACGCGCGAAGCGCAAGATTTCAAAGAAATCAAGGAAGCAGAGGAGGCTGAGGCACGCATAGCACGGCCAACATGCCTGCCTCGCTGCAAATGAGACGCGAGGCCCACACCCTCAACAAATGACGAAGGGCCTCACGAACCTCGAGGTGAGGCCAGCACACGCATTGCAAAGCCAAACGGGCCTGACCTCGACGAGAGGGCTGACACACACAAAGAGTGACGGTGCAGCCACACCACGAACCTCAAGGGTGATGGCCAGCACACGCATAGCCAACGCTAACATGCCTGACCTCGACGTGAGGGCTGAAACACACAACAAAGTGAAGGTGCTGCCTCACGACCTCAAAGAAAGAAGGTGAAGGTGTCTGCAGACCTGCAGACCACGAGAGGGGGCGGACACAACAGGAAGAAGAAGATGATGCTGCATCACGACCCCTCGTCTTCACCTGCAAGGCGGCGCCTCTTGCGCCTGTCCTCGCGCGCCGCCTCAGCCGCGGCTGACCACTCGAGGAGGCTCGCCTCGTCCAGGCCGTAGGCGCTCAGCCATGCCTCCCTCGAGGCCCCCGCGGGGCCAGGCACCAGCGACGCCGCCGCAGCCTCGCCAGCGGCCGCCGCGCCGCTGGGGGGCCCGCGGCTGGCGCCGGCGGCATCGCCGCCAGGGGCACCATCCTCGGGGCGGACCCCCAGCCACTGCAGGAAGCGCACCCTGGCGTCCATCGGCACCACGTCCTCCTTGCGCAGGCTGGGCACCGCCGCGCCGACCCGCTTGCTGCCGCTGTGGGGCGTGCCAGCAGGATGCCGCCCCTGCAGCCAGCGTGCCTTCTGGTCGCGCCTGCCCTTGGGAAGCCCAGCAGACCCTGGGCATTGCTCCTTGAGCTTGGGCGCCGCGCCTGAGCGCCCGCCCAGCCGCGCGTACGCCCCGCAGTGGGTGCACGCCATCAGCTCCTGCTCGGCGGCACCCTCCCCGCACCTGGCGAAGGCCAGGACGTGGCCAGCGACGACGAAGGCCGTCGCACCGAGGGATACTCCACCAGCGCGCGCCGCCGAGGCCCACCCGTCGCCCGAGCCCGAGTCGGACTGGCGGCTGCTGGCGGGCTCCACCACAGGCGCGGCGAAGGAAACAGCCGTCCGCTCGCTGCCCTCAGGCAGGCCCTCGCAGTCCTTGACCTCGATCCCCTGCCAGATGAGGGAGGCTTGCGCCACCCAGCATGAGAGCTCCCTCACCACCTCCATCGTGCCGAAGAACTCACGCCTGGCCACGGGGCTGGAGCGGTGCAGCTCCGCACCTGCCTTGGCCCAGCGGTCGGCATGACCGTTGCCGCGGAGGTCCGCCTCCGTGATCTTGCCATCCAACACGTCACAGGCGGTGCAGTGGGCTGCCACTTTGGTAACCTTGAGCATGTCCACGTCCAGCGAAGCGTAGATCCCCTCCCAGAGATGGGCATTGGGCTTGTTGGCTGCCGTCGCGTACTTCTTGCCCAACGTGAGGCAGCTGACCGTAGACGCACAATCGATGAGGATCTCGTCCACACACGGGCCCAGGAAGCGGGACAGCATCCAGACCGCGAAATCCTCGCCGTCCTTGGCCGACTGGAAAGGGCAGAGGTCTTGGCGCACGCTGCCGTACACCGCGCACTCCATGTTGCCGTCGGAGTCGCACTGCACGATGCTCCATCCTGCACGCCGCAGGCTCGCGTGCTCGGGGTCGAGCGCCGACCCATCCAGGTAGAGACGCCCCCCGAGGAGCCCGTCAGCGGGGCGATTGTGCCACACGACAGCCATGGCATCCGACCTCGGTGCGGCCCTCGGAGGCTGAGGGAGCCAGCAGCGCGCAAAGCATTCCCCCGCCTCCTCACCTCGGCCACGTGCACGGTGTGCGCAGCGCCGAAGGCGGTCGGAGGTAGAGTCGCGCCTCGGCCCCGCGAGGACGGGACACTCAAATAGCCTGTGCCAGAGACTGCCGCGGGGTGCATCGCAAGCGCAGCAGCGAGCATGCTCCCTCTCCCCCGCCGAGTGCAAACGGGTCTGGGGCCAGTGGGCGTTGGAAAGGAAACTCACCACCGCCGCCTTCTCCCTGGGGCTGAGCTTGCTGCCCGACCCGAGGACCTCCGAGAAGGCCTCCCAGAACAGGGGCGACGGGGGGAGCGCTCCGTGGCCTAGGCGGGCCAGCTCCGACCTGTCCGAAGCACGCCGCGCCCCTGCCGCTGCCAGCAGGCCCAGCTCGCGCGGCCCCATCATGCGCAGGTCCAGGACGTGGCCGTCGTCGGTGGCGAGGCAGGTGCCTTGGACGAGCCTCCAGCCCACCCTGGTGAGCGAGAGGGCCAAGGCATCCACTGGCGTACGGCAGTGCGCCCATGGGGCTGTTGCTCCCGCGTGCCTCCGCTCCGCCTCCTGCACGGCCGTCTCGAACATGCGCTGCGAGACCTCCCCCGACTGAAGGAGGCTGGCCGCCATCTGCACAGCGGCACGAAGCAGCGCGGGGCTCGGGTCGAGGTCGATGGACCGCATGACCTCCACCGCCCTGAGCCTCAGCCCGAGTGAGGCGCCCTTGGGGAGCTTCCCAGCCGAGCGCACCGCCGCCAAGCGCCACGAATGAAGCTCCCTATCAGGTACACCAGTCACAGCACGCCCCCACAGCATCGCTGCGGTGGGCCCAGCACGGTGGACCATCTCGGTCGCCGCCCCAGCTGAGCGAAGCACCCCAAGCCTGCGGCCGCGCCGAAGGCCGCCGACCGCACGCCCTGCTCCTTCATGCACGCCTCGACGAGTGATGTTGGCGTCGGTGCCGAGGTTCCTCGCCTGCAGTCCCCTCTTGAAGGCCAGGCCCTGCGCTGCCCACGCCTCGGAAAGCTCCTTGGCGAGCTGCGGCGACGAGGCCAGGAAGACCGACTTACTCTCGTTGAGCGGGAGGTGCTGCTCACGCAGCAGGCGGACCACTTCACAGCTGGAAACCAACATCTGCCGTTTAACTAGGCGGGCCGTGCCGACCGCCTGGAGCGAGATGTCGTCGACAACATTCCTCGGCGTGACCAGCGGGCACGTCGCCCCGGCGGCCAGGAGGGCGCCCAGCACTGGGAGCTTCGCAACTGCTGTCGCACACGCACACCCAGCCAGAACCGTACCCGTAGTGCCGAAGGCGGGGGAAGCCATGCCCGCCGCGAGGATCATCCTAGGGGCCTGGTAGGAGGTGAGGAGGCCGCGCAACAGCCTGAGGTTGAACCCGAAACGTACAGCATTCGCCCAGAGAACATCGTGACGCACGTGCTCGTAGAACTTGCTGATGTCCAGGAAGAGGCTCGCGGCCTCGAACTGCTGGTTCGCCTTCGCGAACCCCGCAAAACAGTTGTGCAGCCACCCAGCCCGCTCACAGTCCCGCCCGTCACGTCCCCAGAAAAAGGGGAAGTCGTGGTCAGCCTCCCAGCGGGCGCAGCAAGGCTGGCGGAGGCGCGACCACAGCCGCAGGACCAGCGGCAGCAGCGCAATGGGCCTTACCCCTCCATCTGCCTTCGGGATGAACACCATCAGGGAGACCTGCCCGCTGATCGATGCAGGGGCGTCGTCGTAGGCCGCCAGGATGTCCAGGATGCGCTGCTGCAGCGCCACGGGCAGCAGGAGGATCTGCCGAGGGTGCAGAGAGTCGCACCCGAGCCCCACCGAGGGGCTGTAGCGCTTGCAGGCCGCCTGGAGCTGCTCCAGCGAGATGGGTGGCAGCCGCCACTCGCCAACGTCCCAGCTGCTGGCCCCCGCGCCCAGGGCAAACCCGTCCTGGAGCCACAGCTTCTGCCAGACACTCGTGAGCTCGCCGATCGCTGCCATCCCGACGAGCCTCCTGCCAGAGTCAGCGTCCCTGACCGTCGGCGGGGGCGTCGCCTTCGAGAAGCGGTGGGCCAGACGACCGCCCTTCTCGACCGCTGTCTGTGCCCAGTTGCGCCAGGCCTGGGCGCTCTGAGCCGCGTCGCGGCGCTGCGATGCACCGAGCAGCCCTTGGAGGTCCCGAACGGCATCAGGGCTGCCGTGGACGCCCGCCTGGAACACCAGGTCGCCTAGTCGATCAGGAGCTGCGCCAGGAAGAGCCCCACCGACCGAGTCGGCAGCCTCCTGCACCGCCTCTAGCAAGAGCTGCGCCCTGAGCCCAGCCTGGTGCCCGTACCAGTCTGCATGCCGAGGGTGCCAGCGGCCAGTCCTCTCAGCGCGCAGCCGCTGGAGGGCCACGTCCAGGCAGCTCCTCAAGCGGTGCGTGAGGAGGCTGAACCTGAACCTGGCATCTCGCCTGACCAAGGCACTGAGGGGCTTGAGGGTCAGCCGCGGCCCCTCTCCTCTGCCGAGATGACGGGCCAAGTCTGCCTGGACGATGCCGTGGATGCCGACCAGGGTGCCTTCTGCAGCCGCCGCCCACTCGCTGAAGGCGACGGAGAGGTTGGTCGGTGAGGTGCCTGTGTCCCAGGACCACGCGACGCTCCTAGGCGAGACCTGTCCTTTCTTGCCAACCGAGTAGCACACAATCTCCGCGTCCTCGTGCGCCCGAAGGAGCTCAGGAGCAACCTCGGGGAAGCGTGCGGGCCTGGACGGAACCTCCACCAACGCATCTGCCCGAACGTCCTGGAGACGAAGCAGGACAGGGCGATGAGGGTGCAGACCGAAGCCCTCGAGCGTGGTGGCGCAGGAGGCCGTGCAAGCAGCCAACGCCGCGGAAGCCACGAACCAGTCGTAGAGGTGGTCACATCCCTCGGCATGGCACGTCGCCTCCGAGGGCCCCAGGACATGCCCCCGCACCGCAGCGGGCCACCCCAACTCCTCCAGCGGCTCGGGCTCCATGTTGAAGTCGGCCTGGAGGACCCACGGGATGTCGGCAGAAGAGCCCGTCACCTCCGAGATGGCCGAAAACAAGTCCAGGTTGGTGCCTCGAGGGCCCACAGAGTGCTGAAAGTGCCCAGCAAGCACCAGGACCCGAAGGCCCGAAGCGGCGGCGACCTCCACCCCGATGAGGCGGTGTCGCAAGGCCGAGGGCAAAGGGTACGCAGACTCGTCGGCCTGCAAGCCGTCTCGCACCAGAATCGCCACGCCGCCTGAGGTCGCCTGGGGCCCTTGCTTCTCCGTCGGCGCCGCCTCGTGGAGGAAGGCCGCGTAGCCCAGGCCGCGGGCCTGAGCCGCAGCACTGGGCAGGCGCTCATGCGGGGGCCTCGTCTCCTGCAGCGCCACTACGTCGGGCCAGTAGTCGTACGCCTTGAAGAAGGCCTCGAGGGCTTCAATGCTCCTGCTCCAAGCGTTGCCATTGCAGCCGAACATGACTAGGCCAGCTCGAAGCTGCAGGCCTCCTGCCCTGCCGACCAGCGGCGCCTTGCCGATGACGGCTGCCTCGCGAGCGGCCCGCCCAACAGCGTCAGACACGGGGCCCGCTGTGCCCCTGGTCGCGGGACCCTCCGCCCCCACCAGGACTGAAGGGGGGCCCTGGCCCCTCGCTCCAGCGCTCCTCATCGGCGTCGGCGGGCCGCTCGCCAGAACGGGAGGTGGCCGTCGCTCCCTCCGCAGCGCGCCATCGGAGGGCTGAGGAGGTGGCCGTCCCTCCGCCCCTCCGGTTGCCAGCGGGGGGTGCGCCTGCCCATCACCAACGGGGCCGAGAGCTGCGACGACGTGGGGCTGAATCCCACCGCTCTCGGCCCCTGACTGGCCGTCGGGGGGCCACCTCGGTGATCCCGACCGCGCCAGCTGGCTACCTCGGGCTAGGGTGCTCGGCGCCGCCCGCCGCCTGCGAGGGGCGCGGACGCGCCAGCGGCCGTCACAGCGCCTCCTCCACCTGTCCCAGCAGCTGGGCCCGCGCACATCCCGAGGGGAAGGCGTCCCGCTGGCCCCGACATCGAGGCCGACTGTGGAAGCTGACCACTCCCGCGCTCCCGCATCACCCACGGCGCGGCCCGTACCCAGCAGCAGGAGCAACGACAGCAGCCGCAGCCACCAAGGGGTCGCCGTCCGAGAGGGCCGCCCCTTGCTCGGCGAGGGCCTTTGCGAGGCAGGGCTCCACCTGCGGCCACGCGCCCAGGGTCGCCCCGTGTTGGCCGCGGGCCGCTGCAGGGCCGTAGGGTCCGTCCGCTGGCCTGGCCCGCGTGGCTGGCGGCCCAGCCGCGGTCGGCCCTGCCAGCGGGGCGGCAGCGGGAGGGGCGGCCGCAGGCCCACCTGAGGCCACGATGTCGAGCGGCATGTCGTCATCCTCAGTCGCGAGGCCGTCGTCACCGACGCTGTCGCCCCAACGCTTCCTGGCCGAGCTGCTTCGGGGCCTGAGCACGTCAGCGACCGCCTCCTTCTGCGTGTTGAGAATCTCGACGATCTCCGAAAACCTGGGTGGCAGATCGGCTCCGTGCTGCTTGAGGAGATCCGAAAGGGCGCCAACCTGAGTGAGCAGCCCCTGGACGGCGTCCCCAAGCGGGCTCGGCACGCCTCCGACAGCTGCGTTGGCCCGCTGGATCGCCTGCTGAGTGACCTTGGCCCTGGTCTCTTCCAGCTCTGCAATCTGCCCAGTGACTTCATCAACCCCCAACTCGGCTGCCGAAAGCTGCTCCTGCTTCTCCGCGATGAGCTCGCGCAGCTCGGATGCCTGCAGCTGGAGCTTCTCCTTCTTGGTGCGTGCCGTGGCCAGCTGGCGCTCGACCTTCTGGATGGCGTTGGCCTCAATGTGGAGCACCGAGTGAGGCGGGCGCTCCGTCCGCTGGGCCTCCTGGACGGACCGCTCCAGGGCGGCAACCTGGTCCTTGCCCTGCTGGAGGGCGTTCTCCGCCTCACGCTGGAAGTCCACTGAGAGCCCGAGCGCCGAGGCCCCCTGGAGCGCGACGACGCGCTCCCTGGCCGCCACGAGCTGCGCCTGTAGCTCCTCGATCTGAGTCTTGGCCTCACCCCAAGGCCGCGCTCGCCGTGCCCTGCTGTTGGGGGCGCTGCTGGGCGCGGTGCTCCCCGAGAGGGCCCGCTGGGAGGCCGAGCGCCTCGCCGCGCGCTGCTCAGCCCTTCCCCTGGGCTGCTGCACGAACCCGTCTGCGTCCACACGCGGGGGGGGCTTGTCCGAGCGGTACTCCTTCGTCCATGGGGGAGCGCTGGTGCCGCACGCCTTGCACGTCCACCGCTTGTCACACCAGTTCCAAGCGTTGCAGCCACGCTTAGCACACAGCCAGTACGCCCGCCTAGCCAGCCCCGAGGCAACCTCCGACATGGCGGCTCACCGAGGGAAGACTGACGGCTGCTCGGCCGAAACACTCGGCCCTGCAGGCACGAAGAAGAACAAAATTGGCGAAGCTTCTGGCTCGCGGCGGGGCGCCCCTCGCGCTCAAGAACGCCCGACGGACTCGCGGTCGTCGGGTGCGCCATGGCCTTGAGCCAAAATGGCTACGGAGGTCTGGCATGCTGGTCTGCTGTGCTCCTGTGGTCTGCCGTGCTGGTTTTCTCTGCTGCTGTGGTCTGCCGTGCTCTGCCATGCTTCTGTGGTGTACCGTGCTGGCTTGCCGCACTCCTGCAATCTGCCGTGCTGCTGTGGTCTGTCATGCTGGGTTGCCGTGCTTCCGTGCTGGTTTTCCGTGTTCCTGTGGCCTGCCGTGCTGGTCGGCCGTGTTGCTGTGGTCAGCCGTGCTCCTGTGGGGCGGATCCTCCAACATTCCCAGTGGGGGAGGACGTCTCGCACGAAACGCTTGTTGTTTCCAGACGTCGATGCCGATAAATTCGAAATTTGGTGATGATGTCCCGAGCTAGATCGCACTTGTGGCTCGTCTTGAGGGCACTCTTGGGGATATCTTGGGGCTTGATTGGGGCTCTTTTGGGCCACCTTGATGCCTTCAAACATGAACCCAGTACGATCTTACAAACATCAACTGGTTGAGGATGTCGATGACGAACTGGCCCCTTTTGGAAGGCTGGTTAGGTCGTCGTGAGGCCTTTCGAGGGCGATGCTAAGACGATATCAGAAACGAAGTTCGCTCGGAGCTATCTGATTGTATTTCCATGTTCTAAAGGGTATCCCGAGAGAGATCATCATTGTCGGTAGTCCTCGGGGTGCTCTTGGAGCCATCCTGGGGTCGTCTTCGGCCCTTGGCTTCTTATTATTTCGAACACTTTGAAAACGATACCAAGACGATGTTAAGCACAGATCAGTTGTGTGAGGACGTTTCTAATGAAATGGGCGCTTTTCGAACTGACGTTAACACAAACAGCAATGCTGGTCTGTCGTGCTGGTGCTCATTGCGTGAGGATTTCTCGAGCGAGAACGTCGATTGTAACATGAAAGGTAGTTGAGCAGCTCTGCCGACATCATGTGTCGTCGAGGATTTCTCACGCGAAACGCCCATGTTGATGATCAACAAAAAGTTATGCTACCCAACTCTGGAGGAGGTCTCTCGCAACACGCTTAGTGTTGCATGCATATATATATATATATATATATATATATATATATATACATACATGTGTATAGATATACACAGAACAATTCATGTTTGTGTGAGTTTCTCAAGCGAAAGGCTTGAAAAAGGGTATCCGCTAACGTGGGGGCCCGTGCGATCCCGAACTGTATGCATGTGATGATTTTTTCATCGGGTTGCAGATTAAGCCAGAACGTTTGAAGCCCGAGTCATCCGGGCTAACTGCTGTCCAGGGTAATCCGGTTTGGGCCCCCGAGGCGCGAATCTGTGTTATCCCTGACTGCCCCCAGCCCTGATGATTCGGGAGGGTTGGACGCCCAAATTATGCGGGATATCACTGCGGCACGGGGTAACTCTGGTTTGGGCCCCTGGGGCGCGAATCTGTAGCTATCTCTGACCGCCCCCAGCCCTGATGATTCGGGGCTCTGAAAACATCCAGCTGGCTCCTCGTTCCTCGAAGACGCTTCCCTTCATTTACGGCCCCGAATGGTATGTATGATAATACGTTGAAGAAGGTTACAGATTCAGACAGAGCGTCCAACTTGCTTCTCGCGCTCCTCGAAGACACTTCCTGTCATCTGCTAACTTCCCGTCAACCGCGAACTTCCAACCCCGTGCGGCCTGGAACGTATGTAGTCAGATTGTTTCAAAATGCTGATTCAGCCATAACGTCCAACTCTCTTTTCGAGTTCCTCGAAGACGCTTCCCGTCTTCCGCTAAGTTCGTTGCCCGAGGTCTGGGTTTCGTACTTCCGGGCTCCAAGCGGAAAAATCCAGGGCACGCTGACACGAGCAGTTGCTTGAAAAATCGCGCTATACACATGTTGCTCGAACACGTTCAGCAAGCCAGCTGGAACTGCGACACCGCTCCACCCAAAACAAATCAGCCCTGAGGCGCTACGAGATTCCGCAAAGATGCTCAAAGCGCGAGATAACGTACGCGAAAAGCATGCGGCTTCTGGATATGCGCCACAAGTGCAGATGCACGTCGTCCGTCGTATCGAGGATGAGGAGGGGGCAGTGCTGCCTCAGCACTTTACAACGCCAAACCTGCTCTCGATCTCGTCGATCTGCACATCGCCGTCGAGGCTGTTGAGGTCGACGTCGAAGCCGTCGTCAAGCTCCACCATCAGAGGGAGCCACCGGTGCAGCAGGCTCAGCTCCACGATGAGCTCGTCCTCCGTCGGTTCGTCCAGCATCTTGAAGGTCTTCGTCCTCACTTTGATCCTCTGGCCGCCGACGGTCCCCTCCCACGACATTCGCCTCCCCTGGCTCGTGCCCTCGAGGCTCTTCACGCTCGACACGGATAGCCGCGAGCCAGTCGAGTCGATCGAGCCCCGGCGCGCATTCGCCGCCTCCGACGGACTGGTCGGGAAGGCCACCTCCTCCTGGCCGACCAGGTCCTCGCAGACCAGGCCCTTGGCTGCAGCATACTGCATCGTCGCTGCCATTGTGCCGTATCGCTCAAAGTGTGAGTCCCCCAAGGATATGACATTCTTCCAGGACTGTCCCTCGTACTGGGAGTAGAACTCTCCCAGCGCCTCGGCGATGGCCATGCCCTTCGTCTCGGCCCAGAACGTCTCGAACTGATTCTGGGCCATCTCGCCGACCTTGCTGTAGTCTATCTGCTCGCCATCCCGCGCGTACACAATCTGGATGTTGAGCTTCTCGATGAGCTCGCCGATCCCAGGGTAGAAGTATCTGCAAGAATCGGTGACCCACGGACTCCTGGCCAAAGTCACTATGACGACCTTCCCGCGGTCGTTCGCCAGCCGGAGGAGCTGGCCGGCGGCGCCCGCAGCTTTCGCCAGCGCGGTCTGGACACGAAGCATCTTCTGGGGACTGAGCGCCTGGTCCTTCAGGTGATGGCTTATGGAGAGGCTTAGATCGTGCTTCACGAATGTGGTTGGGAACAGCGTGTCGTCCCAGTCGAATATGATGGCCGTCTGCGTCTTCTCCGCATACGTTGCGTAGGAAACCTGCCGGCCAAACGGCGAAATCTGGCGAGCAAACGGCGAAATCTGGCGAGCAAACGGCGAAATCTGCCGATCAAACTGCTCAATGAGGGTGGCCGTCTGGTGTCCCTTCTTCCCCCGGCCTCCGAGCAAAGTTCTCATGGCCTCTATGGCGGACTGCGCCATCCCAACGCTTGCCAGCCCATCGTCCCCTCCCAGCGAATCAGGGATGGTGCCGCGCGGCTTGCAGAGCTCGCCCTTCCTGCCGATGCTGCAGTCGTGGACCTGCCTGGACTCATACCAATACACCGTGCAGGTCTCCCTGGCAAGATCGACGGACGATACTATCCCTGGCTTGCCCGCGCCGCCGTCCACGTCCCCCTGTGCCCACTCCTTGGGATTGCGGACGACCAGCAAGTTGACCTGTGCGATCTTCTTGGTCACGACTGGGCCCGGCTTCAGCGTCGGCAGAGCCTCCCACACGGCCCTCACGTGATTCATCATGCTTTCCGCAGCGGGCCTCCGGCTCCCCTTGCTGTCCTTGCTGCATGTTCTGGGCGTCACCCCTGCATCGCCCGCAGTGTTCTTGGGGTCGTCGCAGTGGTGGAATGTGCCAGGCTCTGCCGGGCAGGTCGGCGTCTCTTGCATCCCGTCCTGGCTTCCCCCGATCGGATGCACGCACACCCTGGATTTCGACTGCGTGCGTGCACCTCGCAGATTGCTTAAGAACGTCATCACACTTTTGCCAAGTATGCTGCGGCAGCCGCAAAGGTGCAGCACGGAAAAGAAACCCGCCCAGCTCCTCAGGGTGCAGATATGAGCCCTAATGGCCCAATCGCAGCTAGAGCCAAAATCGATTCGGGCCCGTTCTGAATTCCTAAGCATCGTCAGAAATTGCTGGACGGTGTTGGTTTCTACGAGTCGTCGTCGCGCTTTGTCGCCGTCGATCGTCATCAGTGATCGTGTCTGCTGTCGTCAGCAGCCTTCCTCGGACTTTCAGGGACTGTCGATTGTCGTCGCCTCGCCGAGCATCCTTGGGCGGTGTTAGTCTATTCCATGCGTGGGCACAGCAGACGCTGAGGCGCAGCGGAATTAGTCTGCTAGAGGATGGCGCCCTGCTTCAGGTGGCCATCTGCGTCCTGACTTGGCTTGCAATCAACACCTAATTCCCGCCGTCTTCTGGAAACTTCTGGCGCAAATGCGCTGCCGACTGACACACGCTGCGGGGCTCCTTCGATTGACCGCCCGAGGCTCCACAATGTGCTGCGGCGTTCGCGCCAAGTGTCAGAAAGACGAGGGCTTCACAAGCCCAGGCCTCATCACGACCACAGCAGCAAAGGGCCACTCTGTTGGACGCCCGACATGGGTATATGAAAAATGCTTGCGATGCCAAACAACAGATAATGTCCAAAACCGGCAGCGGTCGCTGTTGGGCCAGTTGGGCAGACAATTTCCTGTCTCAAGTGGACAACGTCCGCGGCGACGCCGACAGCGAGCCCAGTTCAAAATGCGCAGGACATGGTGTCGGTCTTCGTGCCCATGACGGTGTGGGCATTGGATAAGGAACCCTTGGATAAGGAATCCAGGGTCTGGAAGCCAGTGGAACTCAGATCGTGGATCGGCCATGGATATCACCGCCGCCCTCATCAAATAATGAACCCTCCAGGGTCTGAAGCCTCCTGGGCACGTTCTTCGGTATTTCCGCACTTCTTCCGCCCGGTTTTGACCGAGGACCGGCCTGCAAGACGAAGGGAGCCTGGAGGCGGCCGGGGGTGATGAACTGGTTGGGACCACAGAACATCTGTCAAAAAGGAACACGCCTCAAAATCGGTACCCGGACGCCTCCCGGGGTCCATCTGCTGCAGTTTTTCGCCCACGATCAGTTTTTCAGGCGCCTGGAGCCTCAAAGTGGCTCCCAGAGGCCGAAAAATGAAGAAGCACCTTCCCGAACCCAGAACCTCGAGCCCGCGCCCCATTACTGCTTGACGGAACCAGTGCTGGGCCACCTCAAACCCTCAGCCAGCTCCAAGGCTTCAAGGTCCAGCCTCTGACTGAGGACTGACTTGCAAGACGAAGGGAGCCCTCTGCGCGACGCGCGTCGGGTCACTGCCCTCCACCCCGCTCGCCCGCGGCTGTCGCGACCGCGCCGCGCCCACGGGCGTTAACCCTCCTCCTCCTGCTCCTGCTCCTGCTCCTGCTCCTGCTCCTCCAGCTCCTGCTCCTCCTCCTCCTCCTCCTCCTCCTCCTCCTCCTCTCCCTGCTCCGCGCCCTATATGACAACGTGATGGCGGAAATCCTGGACATCCCCCTCTCTGCGCCCAAGGAGCTCTCTTTCTGCGCTCCACTCCCAGCCGCGGCCAGCACCCGGCCGAGGGCGGCCGCAGGGAGCTCCTGCGGGAACGCGCGCGAGCCCGCCCGCTGCAGCAGCTCCACGAAGTCGAAGATCGGGCGTTGCCTCACGGGCGGGGGGGAGGGGGGGCAGCGACCTCTTTCACGCGGCGCTGCTGCTCCGCGGCCGAACGCCGCTTCCGCCGGGCTGAGCTCCGAGGCTGCGGCAGGCCTGCGCCGTGCCGACCCCGGGCGCTGGCCGCCGACACCGCCACGATCGGCCGCCTCCGAAGCGTCAGGCCGCCCGTCGTCGGCCGATCCTGGGCCGCTGGCGGCGGCGGGGGCGGCGTCCCACGCGGCGCGCCCCAGAGGGCGTCGCCTTCGGGGGCCCGAGGGAGTTGGCACCTCTCTTCCTCGGCGGCAGGCGGCGGAAGCGGCACGAGGCCGCCTCCGCCAGCGGAGGCCTGGCGGAAGCACTAGCGGAGGGCGGAGGTCGGTCTCCCGAGAGAGGTGCCACGGTTTCCTAGGCTCGGAGCTTTTCGAAACCGCCACGTGGCACTGCTGCTCGGCGGCCGAACACCGCTGCAGCAGAGCCGAATCTGAAGGCTCCCCAGCCAAGCTCTGGGCAGAAGCCAATTCTTAGGCCCGCCAGGGACAGGCCAGGGCCTGAACCTGCACCCTCGGGGGGCCCGGGGGGGCACTCCCGCTTCCCCCTCGTGCAAAAAGCCTCCGCCCCAACCCCCTCGCCAGTGTGTCGCCCCCCCCTCCCCCCCCCCGAAACAACGCCCGAGAAGAGGCGGAGGCCCTCGGGCCGGCCGTGGAGCTCGCGGCCCGAGAAGCGCGTGGAGCGGAACCGCTGGCTGAGCGTGTCCAGGTCGTGCTTCTCGAGGCCCTGGTGGCCGCAGGCGGGCGCAAGCAGCCGCCGCAGCGACGAGCTGTGGAACGCCTTCCCAGGGCCCGGAGCTGAGCGGTGTCTTCGTTCTGTGGTCCGTGTTCCGTCGTGGGGCCCTCGCTGTTTGCCTCTGCTGCGAAGCGGAGTCGGACGAAAACGGCACGCGAAATCGCCAGAGCACCGTCCAGCTCGAGCCCTGACGCCTTCTGGGCGCCTCCGCTGCTCGAGAACAGCGACTCCGCGCTCCGCAGCAGCTCGAAGAGCTCATCGCCGTTCATGTCCACGGTGATGTTCGGGGGCGGCCCAGAGGGGGGCGTCCAGGAGAGGGGGGGGGGGGCGCAAATCATGGCCGGCGGCATGTGAGCAGCACTGGGAGGGGGGGTGCGGGGACGCAATGAAATAAGAGGCGCCACGAGACCTGGGGAGACATCACGGTCCCCGCCATGCTTTCCCCCCCCCCCCTCCTGGTCATCATCCCCCTCTTGGCCGCCCCCGAGCGATGTAGGAGTCGACCTCGGGCGAGCCTTCGCCGCAGTTCAGCTGCTCCAGCAGCCGGAACAGGCCTCCCACCGCCACGGCCTTCGCACGGGCCCTGGAAGGGTGGAGCGGGCCTTCTGGCCCCGATCCTCCGGCGTGTGCGCTTCTGAGCTCTGGGGCGCGTTCCGCCCTCGAGCACCCCCTGGCTTCGGATCCGCCGCACTTTGGGCGACTTCGCAGGCTGAGCGGGAATGTCCGCTCCTGCGGTGCCGATGTCCACCCCACTTTGCCGTCGCCGTTTCCGCCATGCCTTCACGGAAATATCCGCCCTACCTTTTCTGAGGCGGAAGTCCCCGCCCTACTTGTTCGCATCGCTTGGAATCTTAACGATGGGCCAGAGTACGGCGCATCAGAAGTCAGGACTCTGTGCCTACTTGATTAAGGAAGGAGAGGGTGTGTGTGTGTGTGTGTGTGGCTGAAGTCAGCACGCTTTGCGCGCGCGCAGTTCTCTGTCGAATCGGGGCTGTGCTGTACCTCGCATGAGGAGCGGGGGCGGTGCACCATCTCCCTCTCGAACAAGCTTAGGGGGATTTGAAATCAGGAGCAAGGAAGATCTCTGCCACGTGCTCTCCGCGCTCCTCCCTCCTCGTGCTCCTTATCATCATCTCTGCTTCTTTCCTTCTCCTGCTCCTCCTCATTATCCTCTTCCCCCTCATCCTCCTTCTCCTCCTCCTCCTCCTCCTCCTCCTCCTCCTCCTCCTCCTCCTTTATTCCTTCTCCTTATAAATAACTTCTCCCTGTCGCACCCCGAGACCGGTCGAAAGGGCGGACCCGGCGGTTCGCCTGAGACTTCCTCACCATCTATGACCCTGAAGCTTAAAAGTGTGCAACGCTGTCACGAATGGAGTGCGGGTCGTTTTTTGAATGTCGCTCTCGCTAAAGCGCCGCGCACATTCGTTTTGAAAATTACAATAATATCATGGATTGAGGGCGGGTGGTTTTCCAAATGTGGCTCTCGCCTTAGCGCCGCGCACATTCGTTTAAACAAATAGAATAATTTCGCGGATTGAAGGCAGGTGGTTTTCCAAATGTGGCTCTCGCCTTAGCGCCGCGCACATTCGCTTAAACAGTTTGCAACATTTTCACGGATTGAGGGCGGGTGGTTTTCAAAAGGTGGCTCTCGCCTGAGCGCCGCGCATACTCGCTGCAAACAATTGCAAGAGCTTCCTGGATTGATGGCGCTTCGTTTTCAAAATGTAGTTCTCGCATCAGCGCCGCGCACATTCCTTTCCAACAATTGCAAGAGTTTTGCGGGTTCCCATGGTCAGCGTACCAAAAATAGAAATAGTGTTTGGGAAAACAAATAGGATTATGAGGGTCCAACAATTGTTGATTCGCGGTGCTGAAATCCCAAGAATGGCGTTCTGGCACCATTCAGGATCGTCAAGACGCAGCAATTCGGTTGATCCGTGGCGTCGGGGTCCTGTAGATTGTTTTGGCATGTCTAAGGGTCTTCAACCGGTTGTTTTCCAACGAAGCAGTTAGTTCCCTCAGTGGAAATGAGCTCCTGTAGGGGCCTATGAAATGGGAGCTTGGAGGGAGGGTTGGTTCCATCATCGTTGATGACTCTTGGGGTTACACTGGTCCTCCTCCTCCTCTTCCTCTTTCCTCTTCCATCCCTTGTCCTCATGCATAACTCTTCCCTAACGCGTTTCCAAATGTGTCGGTAAAGCGGGCCAGGTGTTTCGCCTGAGCTTCCCTCACCGCTGATGACCCTGAAGCTCGAACTTTGCGACAACTTGTACGATGGAGGGCGGGTGTGTTTCAAAATGTGGTTCTCGCCTTGATGACGCGCGCACTCGTCTCAACAAGTTGCAAGTGGTTCGAGGATGTAGGGTCGACCGTTTTCAAAATGAAATTTTCGCCGACACGCACACTCGTCTTAACAACTCGTATTTAACCTTGTCGAAAGGTGGCTCTCGCCTTAGCACCGCGCACATACAACTTTCACGTGTTCGACTGTTATAAGGACCCGTAGTGTTCAAATACCAGGAACTGTGTTCTGGCACGATTTAAGATTGCCAGGATGCAACAATCGCGTTGGTTCGTGGTGATGACGTCCCAGGAACGGCGCCCTGGCATGATTTAGGATTGTTACGGACGCAACAATCACCGTGATTCGCGGGGTTGAAACCCCAGGAATTGTGTTCTGGTGCGGTTGAAGATTCCCAGACGGTTGTCTGTCAATGGGGCACCAGCAATGAAAATATATAGCACCCCGCAATTGCGGATAAGAGTGAGGGGGCGGGCGCGGGCGACGCGGGCGTCGTCGAGCCGGCGGACCTCGTGGCCCCCACCTTCCCTGTCGAAGGCGCTGTCCTCCTCCTCCTCCTCCTCGTCCTCTTCCTCGTCCTCGTCCTCATCGTCATCGTCATCCTCCTCCTCCACCTCGTCCTCCTCCTCCTCCTCCTCCTCTTCTTCCTCGTCCTCCCTCTCCCCCCCTCGTCCTTTCATTATCGTCCTCCCATTGTCGTCCTCCCCCTCATCGGCCTCCATCATCGTCCTCCCATTGTCGTCCATCATCATCATCATCATCATCATCATCATCATCATCATCATCATCATCATCATCATCATCATCATCATCATCATCATCATCATCATCATCATCACCATCACCATCATCATCATCATCATCATCATCATCATCATCATCATCACATCATCATCATCATCATCATCATCATCATCATCATCATCATCATCATCATCATCATCATCATCATCATCATCATCATCATCATCATCATCATCATCATCATCATCATCATCATCATCATCATCATCATCATCATCATCATCATCATCATCATCATCATCTCTCTCCCCCTCCTCCCCCTCCTCGTCCTCCTCCTCCCCCTCCTCCCCCTCCTCGTCCTCCTGCTCCTCCTCCTTTCTCTTTCTCCACATTATCCTTACATCCTCTCTTTTTCCGCGTTCTCCTCGTCCCCTGTTTACTCCTCCTGCCTCTCCCTCCTTTCCCAAGATAACTGCAACGCAATCCTTTTTTCCACTTTATGCTCCCCGCCTTCTTTGATTAAGGCAACTCGCCAGGGCAGAGTTGCTGGACGGGCTGGTGTGGATGCGCGGGGCTTGAAGAGGTCCTTGCGGGCTCAGGCGGCATGCAAAAATCCGCCGCCGCGCTTGTGCGGCATTGGTTTGTTCAGTGAACGTGGTTTAGGTCGCGGGTGGGTCGCGGGCTCTCCACCTCCACCTGGAAGGAATGCAAAAGCAGCCCGCCGCAGGCGCCAACAAAAATTGGTTTGTACACTGAACGTGGTTTGGGTCGCGGGTGGGCCGCGGGTTCTCCACCGGGAGCGAATGCAAAAGATGCCCGCCGCAGGCGCCGAAAATGTGGTTTGTACCCTGAACGTGGTCGCGGGTGGGCCGCGGGCTCTCCACCTGAAACGAATGCAAAAGATGCCCGCCGCAGGCGCCGAAAAATGTGGTTTGTACCCTGAACGTGGTTTGGGTCGCGGGTTGGTCGCGAGTTGGTCACGGGGTGGGTCGCGGGCTCTCAACCTGGAAGGAATGCAAAAAAAACCCGCCGCAGGCGCCGAAAATGGTGGTTTGTACCTTGAACGTGGTTTGGGTCGCGGGTGGGTCGCGGGTGGGTCGCGGGGTAGGTCGCGGGTGGGTCGCGGGTGGGTCGCGGGTGGGTCGCGGGTGGGTCGCGGGGTGCCGCGGGCGGGTCGCGGGGTGGGTCGCGGGGTGGGTCGCGGGGTGGGTCGCGGGGTGGGTCGCGGGGTGGGTCGCGGGGTGGGTCGCGGGTGGGTCGCGGGTGGGTCGCGGGTGGGTCGCGGGGTGGGTCGCGGGGTGGGTCGCGGGTGGGTCGCGGGGCGGGTTGCGGGTGGGACGACGACAACAAACAACAACAACAACAACAACAACAACAACAACAACAACAATCATTTTACCCTCATGCGCCATGCTTCCACATGACACATGCATCCATCTGGATAACACACCCCATCATGGGGGATTTTTCTGGCATGCGGGATCCGATATTCCCTCACCCAGATATCCCGCCCAAGAAGGTTTGGCCACCACCTCTTCCGAGGAACTTCAACATCCATAGCTCGGACGGCACATCGCCTTCGCAATCGCCTTGCGCATGCCCCGCATCTCAGAGGGAGAGGAAGAGGAAGAGGAGGGGGAGATGAGAGAGATAGGGAGGGGGAGGAGGAGAAGGGAGGGGGAGGAGGGGGAGGAAGGATGAGTAGTTGTAGTAGCAGCAGTTGATGATATTGTTGTTGCGGCTGTAGCACTAGTAGTAGTGGTAAAGGTAGTAACAGTCCAAGTAAGAGTAACAATAGTAATATTAGTAGTAGTAGTAGTAGTAGTAGTAGTAGTAGTAGTAGTAGTAGTAATTGTTGTTGTTGTCGTAGTGTTCGTCGTAGAGGAATTGAAGTAGCAGTAGTAGCAGTAGTAACCAAAATAGTAGTAGTACTAGTATCGATAGTAGTGATAGTAGTACTAGTAGTACTAGTAATTCGAGTAGTTGTCAGTAGTACTAGTAGTAGTAGTAGTAGTAGTTGTTGTTGTAGTAATAGTAGTAGTAGTAGTAATAGTAGTAGTAGTAGTAGTAGTAGTAGTAGTAGTAGTAGTAGTAGTAGTAGTAGTGGTAGTAGTAGTAGTAGTAGTAATCGTGGTAGTGGCAGTGGCAGTAGCAGTGGCAGTAGCAGTAGCAGTAGCGGTAGTAGTCGTAGTAGTAGTAGTAGTAGTAGTAGTAGTAGTAGTAGTGGTAGTGGTAGTAGTAGTAGTAGTAGTAGTAGTAGTAGTAGTAGTAGTAGTAGTAGTAGTGGTAGTAGTATAGTAGTAATAGTAGTAGTAGTAGTAGCAGCAACTGCAATATGAGTAATAGTTGTGGTAGTAGTAGTAGTAGTAGTAGTAGTAGTAGTAGTAGTAGTAGTAGTAGTAGTAGTAGCAGCAGTAGCAGTAGCAGTAGCAGTAGCAGTAACAGTAGTAGTGTAAGTAGTGGTAGTAGTTGTTGATGTTGTAGTTGTAGTTGTAGTTGTAGTTGTAGTAGTAGTAGTAGTAGT